TCCTCTGACAGATGTCTTTAGCATTAAGAGACAAAATTCTCAGCTAACAAAGGGAGATGACTAAAAGGGTAAAGTGCCCGCAGCATTAACATGAGGACCTGAGCTCCCAGCACCCAGGTAAAAAGCCAGGTAAGCAGTATATACCTATAAGCCCAGAACTGTCATGAGGGAGAGAACAGGTTGCTAGAGCCTCACTGGCCAGCCAGTCCAGCCCAAAGCAGAGAGCTCCAGGTTCAGCAAAAGACTGAGTTTCAAAAAGTAAGGCAGGTAGCAATAGAGGAGTCACCCAAGTTAGCCTCTGGCTTCTACACAGAGAAGCAAATAACACCATCATTCAGACAAAGTGGCTACAGAATGGGAAAATATTTTACCAACACCACATCTGATGGAGGGCTAATATCCAGAATGTATAAAGAACTAAAAAAACTGGACATCAAGAAAACAAATAAACCAATAAAAATGGGGTACATGCAATGCCCAGCAAAATTCTTCACAGACCTCAAAATGACAATACTTAGCGTCATATGGAAAAGCAAAATACCCAGGATATCCAAAACAATCCTGTACAGTAAAGGAACTTCTGAAGGCATCACAATCCCTGACTTCAAACTCTACTACAGAGCTACAGTACTGAAAACAGCCTGGTATTGGCATAAAAACAGGACGACCAGTGGAACTGAATCAAAGACCTGAATATCAATTTACACACCTATGAACACCTGATTTTTGACAAAGAAGCAAAAAAATATAAAATGGAAAAAAATAAAGAATATTCAACAAATGGTGCTGGCATAACTGGATATCAACATGTAGAAGAATGAAAATAGATCCATATCTATTGCCAGGCACAAAACTCAAGTCCAAATGAATCAAAGACCTCAACATAAAGCCAGCCACACTGAACCTCATGGAAGAGAAGGTGGGACGTACACTTGAACGCATTGGCACAGGAGACCACTTCCTAAATAGAACCCCAGTAGCACAGACACTGAGAGAAACAATTAGTAAATGGGACCTCCTGAAACTGAAAAGCTTCTGTAAAGCAAAGGACATGGTCAGCAAGACAAAACAACAGCCTACAGAATGGGAAAAGATCTTCGCCAACCCCACATCGGACAGAGAGCTGATCTCCAAAATACACAAAGAACTCAAGAAATTGGCCATCAAAAGAACAAATTTTAAAAATTTTAAAAAATTTTTTAAAAATTTTTAAAAAATGGGGTACAGACCTAAGCAGAGAACTCTCAACAGAGGAATCTAAAATGGCTGAAAGACACTTAAGAAAAAGCTCAACATCCTTAGCCATCAGAGAAATGCAGATCAAAACAATTCTGAGAGTCCATCTTATACCTGTAAGAATGGCCAAGATCAAAAACGCTGATGACAACTTATGCTGGAGAGGATGTGAGGTAAAGGGAACACTCCTCCATTGTTGGTGGAAATGCAAACTGTTTCAGATCTGTACCCCATCCCATCCCCTTGCTTCCACCCTTTGCCTATGCAACCTCTCCCACAAAAAAAAAAAAGTTTATCCCTCCAAATAGAATGTGCTCCTAGACACCAATTCAAGACACAAAATCCAAAACAACCGCTTTGGATTTCAGTATGATAATTTCTCAGAAAATTAGGAAACAACCTACCTCAAGAACTAGCAATACCACTTTTGGGTATTACCCAAATGATGCTCAATCATACCACAAGGACACGTGCTCAGCTATGTTCATAGCAGCATTGTTTATCATAGCCAGAACCTGGAAACAACCTAAATGCCCCTCAACCAAAGAATGGATAAGGAAAATGTGGTAAACTTACACAATGGAGTACTACACAGTGGGAAAAAATAATGACATCTTGAAAATTGCAGGCAAATAGATGGATCTAGAAAACATCATATTGAGTGAGGTAACCCAGACCCAGAAAGACAAATATAATATTACTCACTTGTAAGTGGCTTTTAGACATAAAGCAAAGAAAAACCAGCCTACAATTCACAATCCCAGAGAACCTAGGCAACAAAGAGGACCCTAAGAGAGACATACATGGATCTAATCTACATGGGAAGTAGAAAAAGACAAGATCTCCTGAGTAAATTGAGAGTGTAGGGATCATAGGAGAGGGTAGAGGGGAGGGAGGAAGAAGGGAGAGGAGTGGAGAAAAAATATATAGGTCAATAAAAACAATTAAAAATGAAAATAAATGAGTAGGAAAAGGGGGTACAGATCTAAACAGAGAATTCACAAAAGAGGAAATGCAAATAGCTGAGAAGCACTCAAAGAAATGTTCAAAACCCTTAGGATCATCAGGGAAATACAAATCAAACCTGCTTTGAGATTTTAACTTACACAAATCAGAGGCCAAGATCAATAAGACAAAAACAACTCATGCTAGTGAGGATATGGGACAAGGAGAACACTCATCCTTACTACAGGGCAAAGCCAGTTTGGGCACCCTCTCCACTATTGCTTAGGGTCTTAGCTGGGGTCATCCTTGTGGATTCCTAGGAATTTCTCTTGGCAGGTTTCTTGCTAGCCCCATAATGATTCCCTCAATCAAGATATCTCTTTCCTTCCTCTCATCTGTGTCCTCCCTCTGTCCTGACCATCCATTTTCCTCAAGTTCCCCCTTCCCCTTCTCCCCTCCTCCCTTTCTTACCTTTCCTCTCTCCCTTCTCCCCCCCACCCCCATTCTCCCAATTTTCTCAGGAGATCTTGTCTATTTCCCCTTCCCAGGGGAATCTATATATGTTTTTCTTAGGGTTCACCTTTTTACTTGGCTTCTTTGGGGTTGTGGACTTTAGGTTCATTATCCTTTGTTTTACAGCTAGTATCCACTTATGAGTGGGTACACACCATGCTCATCTTTCTTGGTCTGGGTTACCTCATTCAGGGTGGCTTTTTCTAGTTCCATCCATTTGCATGAAAATTTCAAGATGTCATTGTCTTTTACCACTGAGTAGTACTCCATTGAGTAGATGTACCATATTATCTTTACCCATTCTTCAGTTGAGGGGCATCTAGGTTGTTTCCAGGTCCTGAATATTACAAATAATGCTGCTATGAACATGGTTGAACAAATGTCCTTGTAGTGTGATTGAGAATCCTTTGGGTATAAGCCCAAGAGTGGTTCTGCTGGGTCTTGAGGTAGGTTGATTCCCAATTTTCTGAGAAACTGCCATACTGATTTCCAGAGCAGTTGTACAAGTTTGCATTCCCACCAGCAATGGATGAGTATTTCCCTTACTCCGTATCCTCTCCAGCATAAGCTATCATTGGTGCTTTTGATCTTAGCCATTCTCACTGGTGTGAGATGATAGCTCAGAGTCATTTTAATTTGAATTTCTCTAATGGCTTATAATGTTGAACATTTCCTTAAATGTCTTTGGCCATTTAAAATTCTTCTTTTGAAAATTCTCTGTTTAGATCTCTGTACCCCACTTTTAAATTGGATTATTTGGTATTTTAATGTCTAATTTATTGAGTTCTTTATATATTTTGGAGATCAGTCCTGTGTCTGATGTGGAGTTGATGAAAATCTTTTCCCATTAAGTAGGCTGTCTTTTTGTCTTGTTGACCATGTCCTTTGCTTTACAGAAGCTTTCCAGTTTCAGGAGGTCCCGTTTACTTATTGTTGTTCTCAGTGTCTGTGCTATTGGTGTTTTTTAGAAAGTGGTCTCCTGTTGCAAACTGAATCCAAGAACACGTCAAAAAAATCATCCACCATGATCAAGTTGACCTCATCCCAGAGATGCAGGGATGGTTCAACATATAAAAATCTATCAATGTGATCCACCATATAAATAAACTAAAAGAAAAATCTCAAATGATCATCTCATTAGATGCTATAAAAGCATTCGACAAAATCCAACACCGCTTCATGATAAAGGTCTTGGAGAGATCAGAGAAACAAGAAACATATCTAAACATACAAAAAGCAATATACAGAAAGCCAACAGCCAACATCAAATTAAATGGAGAGAAACTCAAAGTGATTCCACTAAAATCAGGAACAATTTAAGGCTTTCCACTCCCTTCATATCTATTCAATATAGTACTTGAAGTTCTAGCTAGAGCAATAAAACAACAGGAGACGGTCAAGCCGATACAAATTGCAAAGGAAGATGTCAGACTTTTGCTATCTGCCGATGATATGATAATATACATAAATGACCCCAAAAACTCTACCAGGGAACTCCTACAGCTGATAATCATCTTCAGTAATGTGGCAGGACACATGATCAACTCAAAAAAAAAATCAGTAGCCCTCCTATATACAAATGATAAAGAAGCTGAAAAAGAAATCAGAGAAACATCACCATTCACAATAGCCACAAATAACATGAAATATCTTGGGGTAACACTAACGAAAGAAGTGAAACAACTATACAAGAACTTTAAGTCTTTGGAGAAAGAAACTGAAGAAGATATCAAAAAATGAAAAGACCCCCATGCTCTTGGATAGGTAGAATCAACATAATAAAAATGGTAATCCTACCAAAAGCAAGCTGTAGATTCAATGCAATTCTCATCAAAATCTCAACATAATTCTTCACAGACCTCGAAAGAACAATACTCAACTTCAAATGGGAAAACAAATAACTCACGATAGCCAAAACAATACTGTACAATAAAGAGACTTCTGGAGGCATCACCATCCCTGACATCAAGCTCTATTATAGAGCTACAACACTAAAAACAGCTTGGTATTGGCATAAAAACAGACAGGTTGACAATAGAATCAAATTGAAGACCTGGATATTAATCTACACCCCTATGGAAACCTGATTTTTGAAATATGCTAAAATTATACAATAGGGAATAAAGAAGCTATCTTCAACAAATGGTGCTGGCATAATTGGATGTCAACATGTAGAAGAATGCAAATAGACCCATATCTATCCCCACACACAAAACTCACGTCCAAACGGATCAAAGACCTCAATATAAATCCTACCACACTGAACCTGATGGGTGTATTTTATTTTATTATTTTTCCTTAGATGCCTATTGGTTTTCTAGAAAGAGACAAAAAGAGTGTGGATCCTGATGTGAGGGGGGGTTGGAAGAACTGGTAGGAATATGGGGAGGGGAAGCCATAATCAGAATATGTTGTATGAAGATATCTATTTTCTTTTTTTGACAATAACATATGTATTTATATATATATATATACATATAAACATACAATGTATAAATGAAATCCTTATATAAGCATACAAATTCTCTCAACAAATAAATTATAAACAATACAATAAAATTAAGCTTAATTTAGCATAGTGTTTTTTTTAAATAACTAAAACACATTTATGCTTTAACAAATTTTGGTCATTTAAATAGAAACTATTCTGATGGGTGCACATTTTCCCATATAGCAATTCAACACACCCCGAGTTTCAATCTCAATCTATGGTTAAATACATATCACACTAGGAAGTAAAGATGTTTAAAATAGAGAGCTTTACATTTTGGTGTCTAGTTTACGGACATCACTTTCGTTAGTTTACGTCATGGTGGAAGGACCTTATTGCCTTTGATTTGGTCTAAGTGAATCTGGTGAGGTAAGCCCTCTCTTCTCCAGCACAGACCTTTGCCCAGGAGTAGACTCTCTCGTGTTTCCCTGCACCCTACAGCTTCTGCACCCTTCTTATTCTGTATCATCACCTGGAATTTGCAGGAAGGCATTGAAGATACTTCAGCTGTTACAATACTTTTAATTCCCAAGTTTGACAAACCACCTCTGATTAAGCCACATATAAATGCTAGATACATTGATGCATGTTCTAAACACTGTTTTCCCGCAGACAGATGAGTAAGCAGTTGAAATTTGTTGTCTGGAGCACATATATGCCCTGATGATTTGTCCTTAGATTATCAATTTGTTTCTTGAATACTGTAGTCCAAAGTTCTTTACATATGAACTTCATGATGTCTGATTCATCCTTGAACTTTGCAGTATCTTTCGTAAACCATTCTATCAATCCTTGTCCCACTCAAACCTCATGTTTTCCAGCTTTTAGTAATGCATCGTCCATTTTCCACATCCCCCTGCTCGGCGGACTTGTACACTTCGGACACCATCTCATTATGGAGAAGCAAAAACAACGCCTCGTCCACCATTTCCCACCAATGCCTCCAGTGGCTCCAGTTTAGTGCGGGACTTGCGGTTCCCATTAGCCCGTGCTGGTGGCATGCGGAAAACTGCCATAGACTGACTACGCCCCTCCCCAGGGCCGCTGCCGCCACTGGGACCCAAGACCAAAGATATCTATTTTCAATAAAAGAGGAATAGGCCACTTCCAAAGAAACAATATGATGCCTAAAATATCATTCGTCCCCCAAGTACCCATGTCGTAATCTCACGGACCTACAAACACACTATGTTCTATCACATGTCAGAAGGGACGTCAAAGAGGTGGGGTGGTTCTACTGCGCCATTTAGGTGGGGCCCCTGGAACCACGGGGTCTTTATAAGGAGAGAAAGGGAAAGAAGGATGGAGGAGATATGACAGTGGAGGCAGACATCCAAGAGATGCTGCCATGAGCCAAGATGTGCAAGCAGCCTCTGTTTCTGGAATAGACAGTGGTTTAAATAAAGTCTCCTCCAGAACCTTCCAGAGTTGCCAGAAGGTGTGGCATTGATTTCAGAACATTTTGAGCCATGAAGCCTATAGTGACTGTCACAAATGCAAGAAGAGATTCATAGCAGATATCATGACGGGTGGGAACATGGGGTACAAAGTCCTAAGGTAGGGCATCTTTACAACATACATGTGGTGGACCAAGTGCTCCAGTGCCACTGGGGACAGAACAGAGAGATAGGTGATATGGAGCCTTATGGATCACCAGCTATAGAAATCTTGGATTTCCTTCCAAGACTGGTGGGAGACACTAGGAAGTTTTAAGACAAGCTCTACTGCATTAAGACAAAAAATATGGCCACTATGTAGAGAACAGGGGAGGAACACTAATGAGGACCCCTAAGCAGAAGCAGAGAGATCAGCAGAAGGCCCAGGAGTAAACACAACTGCCCTAATCAGAGCAGTAGGGATTTGGGTAAGGAGACGGCTGCAAGGTACACCTCAGACACTGACTTATGGCTCTGAACAAAAATCAAATAAAATAATTTGGACATCTTAATGCCAGGGGCCCTTTGATCAAATAAAAGCCCGCTTTTCAGATACCACATGTTGGCTTCTGACAGTGACAAACGATGTCACCCCACAGGTAATCCCCAGAGCAGGGACTTGGGGATGTTCTAGGAGAACAGAAAGGGTAAAAGGAAAAGTGTATGTCCCTTTCTGAACACCTAAGGACAAATGGCTGCCCAGCAAGGAAGAAATTAGCCCAAGTGCAGAAGGATTGGCTGGTCATGCGGGGGACACTTGAGAAGACAGTGTGTTATCTATGGGGACAATGTCTTACCCTCCCAAACAACCATCAAGTTCCGACCTGTCCCAGTACTGTGAAATTCTCAGCTTCAATCTCCAATATGAAGGAACAAAACTGAGCATGGATCCTTCAGGAATTCAGAGTTGATATGAAGTATATCCACAGACCTGCCAGCAGATGTTACAGGGAGTTGGCAGTGCTAGATTCGTGTCTGATGACAGAAGTGTTAAGTGCAATCGGTGTTCTCATTTTATTTTTAAGCCAGGAGAAGGGGAATCAAATTTGTCCTGGGGTGACCTTCCTAAGAGCTACTGTCCCTCACTGGAAATAATCATTGTAATGGAGAGGCTGACAACAAAGCCATTTCTTGAGCCCTGGCTGGACACAGCACTGTGACACATGCCGTCACCATCCCCACTTTAGACAAGAGCAAACGGCATCCACAGAACGTGTTTTCCAGCATCCTGTGGGAAAGCAGCGGAGGCTGCTCTAACGCAAGACCGCATTCTGAACCAGGACTCCGAAAACTCCAGTCCGCAGACCAAGTCTCGGCCACCATTGCTTTTGTAAATGAAGCTTTATGGGAGAACCAGATCCTAGAGCCAAGCAGAAAAGCTACAAGATCCATATGGGCTGCAGGGTCTGAAATATTACTACCTTGCCCTTTGTCAGAGAAGGGGAGTGTATGCCAGTTCCCTGATTCTACATCACCCTGGGCGTGGTTCCTCATAACTCAAGCAGTCTGCATCCTCTCTTCTCTCCCTCCCTCCCTCTCTCTCTCCTTCCCTCCCTCCCTCCCGCCCTCCCTCCCTCTCTCTCTCTCTCTCTCTCTCTCTCTCTCTCTCTCTCTCTCTCTCTCACACACACACACACCTGTTCTGGTCACTGGCTGAGTCACCAGGACTCTTGCATTTCCTAAATATCCCTGGCTCCCACAGCTTGCCTAAGAAGACCCTGTCAGCCCCTCTCCTATACCTGCTCTGCAGTTGAGAGGAAGTGTGGAGCAAAGACTAGACTAGAAGCCAGACCCTGAGTTTCTGGTGCCTTCAAGACCTGTTCAGTTTCCTGAGGGAATGAACCAGAGGACTTGGGCAGGGACACTCTCCCTAAGCATGGTTTCTTGAAAAATCTGAATGTTATCTATGGAGACATAACTATATGACATACACCACAAGTATAATTTCCTTTTTTTTTTTTTAATGAAAAGGTGTGCGAAGATGGAGGCCAAAGGTCACTGTTGGGCATCTTTCCCAATTGCTCTTTCTCCACCTTATTTTTTTTTTTTTTTTTTGAGACAGGGTCTCTCTCAGTAGCTGGAGCTCACAGAGCTGACCCGTGAGCCCCAGGGGTCCTCCAGTCTCAATGTTTCCAGCCCTGGGATACAGGCAGATGCCATCACATGGCGCTTTCTCACACAAATTCCGGAGGACTGGACTCACGTCCTCACTCTTGCAAGGCCAGCACTTTCCTGACTGCACCATTTTCTCCATTGCATTGCTCAAGAATGATTTCTATCCCATGACTTTTCCCTGGCAGGAAGGAACTTACAGAAACTCCACACAGCCAAGAGAAGGGGGGAATGCACAGTGTTATGGTTTGGAGCTGTGCTGTCCCCCAAAGGTTGTGAGATAAATGTTTGGTCATAGCCTGCGGCTCTATAGGACTTGGTAAAGTCTTTATGAGATAGCGGGCTTATGGAGGAAAGAGAGGTCACTGGGCACTTGCCCATGAAAGGGACTGTTAGGACCCAGCCCCACCGCTTTCGTTCTATGCTTTCTGGCTACTGTGGCATGAGCAACTCTGATCATCAACACGATTCCCACTCCTGCTTCTCTGCTCTGAAACTGGCCCAAAACAACAGGGCCAAGTGGTCAGGAACTGAAGCCCCTGAAGCCGTCAGTCAAAGAAACAGTTCCTCCTTGAAGTTGATCTCTCAGTCATTTAGTCCCAAAGACAGGACTCTGATTACTGCAGACTGCTAGGATTATCCTAACGACCATACACCCCTGCCCCAAACAACAGATGCAAACATCACAATCAAACTAACCCTAGCCCAACCATTGAATTCAAACATGTCCTCTTTGCTTTCTTTAAAAGACTACATGTGTACCATCTATTTTTCCATTTTGCACTTCTTTCACTGGTTGGCATAATAAAGCAAGGCAGGGAACTGTGGAATGCTGGCCCTGAGCATAACTGTCATTACCATCTTAACCAGGGCCCCCGTGACTCTCCGCAGGGAGACCCTCAGCAAGTTTGAGCCTGTCAGCATTCCTTCAGAGAAAAGGAGGCTGGCGAAGGTCATGAGACCCTCTCCCCTTCTAACCACTCCTTCCAATGCTCTGTCTCCACGGCTGCTCATGTTCTCTAAGGTGCTGCAGTATACAGAGAGGGGAAGAGATCCCACTACACAGTATGAGGAAGTCATCTTCCATGGGGGGTGGGACTTTTCATGATGCAGCAGTCTGGGGGGTCACTCCTGCAAGTTACCCCTCACCCACGTTCCTTCAGCATGTTGGCGGAGCCTCGTCTGAGACAAACGGACATTTGTTCATGACTCTCCAGGAAACAGTCTTTGACCCACTCACCTGGCCATGACTTCTAGAACCATGCGATGCTGTTTTAATTGTCAGAGCCTTGTAATAAACTGTTGTGTATTGCAATCCACTTTTCTCAAATTATTCTAACTGAACCATAGAGTTAATTTATTAAGCTACTTAAAATGGAAATACCACATGTTGTCTGTCGGCTATTTTTAGCATGATTTGAATCTCTAAATTCTTTATGTTCCAGTGCAGATGACTGAGCAATCTCTTCGTGGATTTAAACCATCTCCATTGCTCGGGAAGTGGTTATGGTTTCCTTCATGAACTTGTCATGTTGCAAGCAGCTGGTTATTTTAAATTTTGGGCGTTAATGGTTATCTAGTTATTGACTTGCAGGTGGCCAACTCCTAGCCAATCACCGTACTCACAATTCCCGCAGAGGTCCTGACAAGAAATCACACCACTTGTGAATTATATGCTGAGCTCTTTTTAAATTTCTGTTTATTCGTATTTGTGGGTGTGTTTACGTGTGTGTGCACATGTATGTGCATGTGCTTGATATGTGTGGAGGGGCACACACAGTGCATGTCTGTAGACTGGAGGACAACTTTCTAGGGGGTTTGTTCTTTTCTTCCACTGTTAAATGGGTCCTGGGGAATCGTACTTCATGGGGCTCTCTGCTACTCTCAGGGCCAGCAAAGTGTCCAACCACATGAGGCAAGAAGGAAACCCAATTCAACATGACTCAGTAGACAGTGTAGGCTCAGTCTTCTGGAATCTGACACTGGGCAGTTTGTTGTAGGCAGACTTAAGTGCAGTACGACTTGGGGAAACATTTCCTGATGGAACACAATTTCCTGCTCACAGGAGGCATCATTACATTGACACTCTTCTCAAAATACGTGTCACTTTTTCCACGAAGATGGGTTTTAGGGACAGGCTACATGTGTTATCTTCAGCCTAGGGGAGGATATGGTGGTGGTCTCCATCATACAGATAGTGTAGAGGTCATTTGGGCTGTTAGCCACCTCTGATCCTGGCTGTGGGAGCGTGGGAGTCCTTGGACATATGGTAACACGAAGGTCATGTAGACTCTTAGCCACCCCTTGTCCTGCTGTGGGATCTTGGTATGGTCTGACCCTACAGATAGCACAGATCATTAACCACCTCCATTCTCGGTCT